TTACCTGGGGAGATACTTAAATTTCTAAGTCCTATCAGTATATCCTCAGCCTGCAGAAGTGTGGTAATTTAGATGGCTTTTAGATTACAGGGGTGAATTTCTAGCTGGAAACTGGTTTTTATAATCTTGCTTTAAATGAAATATTCTATAACCAAAGAGGATTTTACAGTAACACTAACAGTTAACACTAATACTGGATCGTGATACTCAGAGACTCAGTTTATCATGGTGATCAAGAGAAAAAAAAATAGATTTTTTTACTCAAAAAAAATTAATGAAAGTGTTGTATGTGATAGTGTATCTCTGCTGTGGGGGTGGAGAGGGAGCAAGATCAGAGGAGTTTGAAATTGCAGCAGGCACCGGCTGTGTGAGCACAACTGGAAAACAGCTGGAAAAGCGCTACACCCGTGCCTGGGCCGGGCTTTGCTGAGGATCGTGTCTGGAGCTGGGCTCGGTGCTGCCCTGGGGCCGCGGTGCTGCTTTCGCTGGGCTGCCCCGGAGCGCTCTGGGGTTCCCTTGTGCTCCTGGCACCGATCCCTGCGGGAACCTCCCCCGGCGGGGGCGGCCGATGGCTCCGTGACACGGACGGGAATGTAATGCCTGGTTACCAATTACTAATGTATTTTGCTGCGGGACACTAATAAAGTTGCTTTTCCCAGCTGGTGCATTGTGGTGCTGTGAATGGAGCTGGGCCCAGCCCGCCCATCGCCCCCCCCCCTCGCCATTCAGATGCAAATCAGCTTTGTGCTCATTCCTCATAATTGCTCTGCATCCCGCCTTGGGCTTCCAGAGGCACCCAGGAAATCGTGTTTGCTCAGGCTGCAATTTAGACTGTACATTATTTGTGATAACTATAGCTACAAGGTATAATTTCACTGTCTTATTTAAATTCTATGAATTTCAGCGTGTTTCACACGTCCCAGTCGAGTGGAGTGCAGGGAAGCGGTGCCTGCACGGGGCAGCACCGCCGTGCTTGTTCCTGTGGAGCTGGAAAAGCCTGGGCTGGAGTCAATGTCTAAAATGAAGCTCCATTTTAGAGCTGAACCTTGGCACTGAAATGTTATAATTTTATTTATCTCAATCAGCTCATAATTTACTGTATTAAGGTTATTGCTGTCATGTTACTGTAATGCTGATCATAATTAAGCTAAATAGTTTTTGAGATATTTTTGCCAAATGTATTATGTTTTCAAGCATTTTAGCCTCTTGAGTACAGCTGTTAAACAGTGGAATGATAGGATATTTTCATACACCCTTAACATGTAAACAGGCTCAGAGGGGGAGCTGTGCTCCGCTGCCGTTTGGGGGTTAACAGGCTATAGGTCTTCTTTTAGAGATAATTATTAACTGAATTTATAGAGTTTTTTCTCCTGGTATTGTCTTAAAGGTGACATTCCCTGAGCTGTTTAGGGAGTACATCCAATGCCTCCAACCAGTACAATCTATTAATGCGCTTTAAAAAAATAACCCTTATTAAGATGTACAGACAAGTTTATGCTTATTTATCTTTTAAATACATCTTTGTTTTATTTATGCTACAAACACTGAGAGCTACAACCCCAGCAGGTGCAGGAGCAGCAGGAACGCCAGGGGGACAGGAGGCCAAAAAACCTCAACTCACATTTCCTTTGTACCCAAGAATTGCTCCTCTGGGAATTGCGTTTGGGGTTGGAGCAGAGAAGGGCATCGAGGTGAATCATTATTGGTGTAACACTAAATTGCTCCGTTCAGAAGTGCAGCAGTAGCGGCTGGGGGGAGAAAACGCCTGTCCCCTTAGAAGAGGGGGGATTTTGTGTCATGAAATCCCAGTTTCCCAGTTTAGCTGGGGACGTGGTGGTGACACCGGGGCTGGGGAGCGGCAGATCCCAGGGCAGGGCAGTTCCTCATCGCGGCCCCTCCGGGCTGTTCGGCACCAGCCCCAGACCCAGGTGGTTTTTCAGGAGTTCCAAACCCAAACGCGCCGATCCCGTGTCAGGGAATTCCAGCCCTGCGTGTGAAAGCGGCGCTGGAGCCGCGGCTCGGCGAGGGGGTCCGGCCGCCAGCGAAGCTGTGACTTTATTAGGGAGCCAATTGGAGAGAATTACAGTAATTACTGCTCCATGTAATTAAGCGCTGGGGAAGGGCTCGTGCTGTCGCTCTCGCTGCCGGAGGACGATGCTCGGCTCGGGAGGGAGCGGGGAGAGCTCCGGGGGTGAGCGAGGAGCCAAACCCCCACCTTCCCAATTCCCTGCCCTCCGTGGAGATGGGGGACCCGCCGTGGCTTTGGGCAGGGAAGGGCTGTGGGATTTCCCTCCCTACCCGGCAGCTCCCCATGGCTGCTCCCCAGACACCGCCTGGAACACGCCGGACTAATTGCTGGGGGGGTTTTGCAGTGATTTGAAGATTTTTGGGTTTTTTTGCAGTGCAATGGGACAGCAGCTTTGCTGGGTCTGTGCCAGAGCCCGGCAGACCTGGCACTGCACGGATCTCAGGAAGATGAACCCACGTTATCTTCTAAAGTGTATTAGTGAAACCACATTAAATCCTCAGGAGATACGTCTTATTCCAGATTTCAAGTGCTCTTAATTCAATTCCGCGGTGAATGGAGCCACGTTGAATTTATGCCGCTTTAATTGTGTGTGAAGTTTCCGTGCCACGATTTAATGGCCGTTAATGAGCGCCTTTCCCACTCCGAGCTCTGCCTGCTCCCAGCGCCTTGGGGATGTGTCAGGAGCGGGGCACCCCGAGCTGTGCTGGGTCCCAACCGGGCCACGGCAGCCAAACCTCAAACACAAAATTGAGGAGAGAGCAGAGAGGGTGAGGAGGGACCACTGCGTTCAAAACCCCAACAAAGGGGTGAGAAAAGGAAAAATCCATCAAGGCACAAGAGCTGCTCCAGTGCTGAGGGCTCAGGCGCCGCCTGTGCTGCGGATGGTGAGGGTTGGGGACTGTCCTAGGGAGACCCAGCCCGCGGGCTCTGCTCTGAGCCACTCCCTGCCTAAAGGGTGCCAGGGTTCCGAGAGCTCAGGCTGGGCCAGCACAGCCCTCCTGGTGCTCTGGTGGGTGCAGGGGAAGGGGTGGGAGCTGGTCCTGCCCTGGCCACCTGTGTGACTGCAGCGCTTAAAGCTTGACCCCCTCTTGAAGCTGGAGCAATGGGGGGCCCTGTTAGCTCCAGAATTAAGTATGGAAGTGCCCATCCCAGACCTGCTCTGGGAGGGGCTCTGGTGAGCCCCAGGACCCCCCACCCATCCAGCCCTGCCTTGCTCCGTGCCTGCAGGGGTTTGGGGGATTCCCAGCACAGCGGGGCTGGCTCTGCACAGGGGCTGGGGCAGGACTGGCCCTGGCCCTGCCGGGGGAGGAGCAGGCAGCTGCAGCAGCCCTGTCATTACCCCGGGCTGTGGACCAGCAGTGCCATTTGGGACACAAAGCTGTCATTAGTGGGGACACCGGCCTGGGCTGGCATTTATGGCCAGGGAAAGCAGCCCAGGACTGGCCTGTGCTTCTCTGTCACCCTCTGGGGACACATGGCCACGCACACAGAGGAATGGGCTGCAGCCCCCAAGGCTGAGCCTTGGCCATGGCTGCCCATGGCGCAGCTCTCGGTGCCCCCCAAGGTTCCATGGCCGTCACCACGTCCCCATGCCACCTCCCATCTGCACTGCCAGTGCTTGGACGTGACCCCTGAGGCCTGCAGGAGCTGCAGAGAGGGGGTGCCTACAGCCCAGGGGTTCCCTCTGGCCACCCCTCTCTGGGCTCCTGACCCCCCTGCAGGGCCTGGAGCCCTTTGGGCAGGGGGACTCAGGATGTGGGTGTGGGGTCCCTGATGCCAGCACTGCCCAAGACCTCACACAGCCTCTGCCCCAAGAGTGCCCTGCCAGGGCCCAGTGCCTCAGGAGCAGCACTGCCAGGAAATTGTTATTTGTTATCACTTTTTGGCCTCCTTTGAGTGTTCCACGTCCTTGGCTGTGTCACTCTGCTGGTGTGCAGCAAACAGCCCAAAGAGGTCACCAGGACCCTCCTGGGCACTTCCTGCTGCCATCTCAGGGCTGGCAGTGAGTGGCACTGACCAGGAGCCATCACTGCTCCCTCCTGAGCTGCCCTGGAGGCCCATGGGCACCTTTCCAGCCCCAGGGCCAGCACGGGCATCCCCAGTGAGCCCTTGCTCAAAAACTTGTCAGGTTTAAGACTTTAAGGAAGAGCGAGTGGGGTTTTGGCTTTGGGGTTGGACAGGGAGGGCTGCTGGTGATTTTCTCCCTGACTCATTCCCTAAGGAGGTGTTAGACAATCCCCACCTTAAATGCAGCTGTGACACAGTGACAAAGCTAGGCAGGGGCTGAAAAATCCCTGTGCTGATCCCCTCCAGTTCTGCTGGATCCCTGATTCACCTGGCATCACTCCAGAGGCTCAGGTTTCCAGCAGAAAAGCCCCTTCTCAAGGTTGTCCTGGCTGTTACCATCAGATTTAAAATTTTTTTAAACCTACAAAGCAAAGCCTTAGCAAGGCTGGCTGGGAAATGCATTTCAGATAAAAATAGGAAAAAAAATTAATGCCAGCAAAACAGCCTGAAACCCCAAAAAGAGAAAGATCAAAAATTAGTTATAATTAGCCCTGCTACTTAACAGTGACAAGTGACACACTGTACAAGGGAGCCTCAAATATTTGAGCACAAAGCCTGGTGGTTCCAGGGTCACGGGTGGGGAAGGATCTGGTGGCATTTGTGCCCATCCCTGGTGGTGGCAGAGCCCTGCAAGGGCTGGGGGTGGAAGGGACCAGCTGGGCTCTGCCAAGCCTGAAGGAAGTGCAGGGATACAAATATTCAAACATCCCCTCCTGGGAGTGACACAAGCATGGCCCTCATGGGAAAACTGTTTGTTCTCTTTCTGCAAATCCCAAATTCCCCAGCTGAGCCCCCAGCTTGTTCCCTCCACTGTGCACCTCTGTTCTTCCAGCAGTATGCCACGAAATCAAGACATTCCTCACACCCCAATGTATTTTAATAACAAAGTTGTTGGCACACAGTGTGGGATCTCATTTAGTCCAGCAGTTTATTCCAAAGTGCACCTGCAACAAAAAGTCTGCCCATCCAAACTTGCTGTCACCCTGAATTCCCTGAAATTGGACAGAGCCCCCAGGTTCACCTCAGTTCCTGGATGATGGTGTTAATGGAGCCCAGGAGCTCCCTGAAGTAGCCATCCTTGTCCCCTTCCCTCTGCTCCTGGGCCGCCAGCTCCTCGTACTCGCTGCGCAGGAGGCTGAGGGTGGTGCCCAGGGCGGGGTCCCCCCGGTAGTGCTCCCTGCAGAAGGCCACCAGCACCCCCACCAGCTTGAGGACCTTCTCACGGGTGTCGTGCTCGGGCATGGCCAGCAGATTGGGCACCAGGGCACACCAGCCCTGCTCCACCACCGCCGGCACCAGCCTGACCTGCTGGTACTGCTGGATTTTCTCCTCCATCTGCTCTCCGTGCTGGGAGTCCTCAAGCAGCATCTGTGGAAGTGGTGGAACACAGATTAATGTCCCTGTCAGAGAGGAACTGCTCCCAGGAGGTGACACAGTAGAGGAGGATGCATGTCCTGTACCACCTGCCATGGATGGGGACTTGCCACAGAATACCAGCCCGAGGTTGTGTCCTGGCTCCCTGGCCACAGGGACTGTTTTTCCACCCTGGAGAACTCCCGGGGGCTGGGGGTTTCTGTGTCACACAGCCTGGAAGGGGACTCAGGAAATTCAGCAAGATGTGTAAAGTCTTTGGTCTGATGCTTTTTCCTGCTGACAGGTGCCTGTAGCACCTAATGAACATCATCATCACTTGGCTCCATGCTGCTCCTTCCAGAGATGGGATCTCAGTCTCCTCCAGCCACAGCCTGACCTGCCCCTGCCAGCCTGGTCCAGAAAACCCCAGTACTGAAATTCTGCAGGGGCTGCATCCCTTACAGTGAGAGAGAGCAGCCCAGAGGGGCAAGGGGGCCTGGGGGAGGAGGGGAGACTGCCCCACACCACCCTGTGAGCCCTTTGGTGGAGAGGCTGCTGATAGCATGAGATTTCCAGACAGGGACTTGGAAGGACATCACCAAGGAGACCTCCCCTCTCCCGGTCCTCTTGAGAGCTGCCTGCTGAAGTGCAGGCAGGATTTGGGGTGAAAAGGAAGGAATGTGGCAGGAGGAGGCATTCAGAGCCCCAGTGACTCCTGTTTTGCACTGAGAGCTGCCAGGGTGCTTTATGATTCCAAACCAATCCATCTGACACTCACCCAGCCCATCCCAAACCTGCTACCCCAGCTTGGAGCAACCCCCCAGCACCCAGGGTACAGCATTCCCAATCCAAAGAGCAGCTAAAAATTGTTGTTTTAACATAAACCTGAGAATCTGCCAGGCTGTGCTTGCCCCAGACCCACAGAGGTAGGAACAGATGGGGCTGCCGGAGGGGAGAGCTGGGAAATGGGCAGCAGGATCAAATGGGAATGGTTTGAGTCAAAATGCCCTTGTCTGCTCGTTTCCCATGGAGCTGACAGGATCATGTTAGAGTCAGAACCTGATAAGATTTCAGACCTGCTAAAATAATTTGCACCTTTACAAAGTCTTCTGGAAAATAACTGATTTAACAGAGAGGTGCTGCTCTGCCGTGCCTGCAACCCAGGTATTAGAGCAGCCATAATCCGCAGGGCAAATTGGCCATAAACCGAGCCAGAGTGGATTTAATTCCCATTCTCTGGAGTCAGGGAAACACACAGACTGAACAACAAGCCATGGCAAGGAAAGACAGGCTTTAAACTGACACTTACAGCAGTAATCCAGGGTATTTGAAAATAAAACAGAACGTGGCGGGCTGGGCTCCAGCAAGGGACGTGCAGCAGGCAAAGCAGGCAAAGCTGGCCTGTCCCCTGGCCTTGGCTGGACACCACAGCCCAGGGCCAGCATTCCCTACTCGTGTCCTCTGTGTCCTGCTGTTTAAACACCCTCAGGAGGAAATGGTGGCAGTGACTTGAAGGCAAACAAAGGTTTCAGCTCCTCTAGGAATCCCCAGGCACTGGTGTGGTGTTGGCCAAGGGGTTGAAGGGGACTCATCCCCACTGATGCTGGGATGGCTCCTCCTCATCCTCGTCCTGTGAGGATTTTCAGGCCTGGCTGGGTTTGGGGGCGAAGGTGGGGAGTGCCTGGCCAGTGCCACCCCAGCTCTCACCTTCTCCATGATGAGGTCGTAGAGCAGTGTCACCACACGGACATGGAGGGGCTCCATCCCCTTCTGCCGGAAGAGGCTCCTGAGCACCTGGAGGCCGCCCAGCTTGAGGAACTGCTGCTGGGCATAGGGGAAGTGCCTCAGCATGGAGGACAAAGCAAAAAGAGCCTGGTGGAGAAAGAGAGGGCAATCAGCAAGGTAGCCACATGGCCCCTCTTGATGGCACCCCAAGGGGACAGCAGAAACACGCTCCAGCCCATCTGTGCAGAGCTCCATGGAAAGTGCATCCCAACCTCTCCTTGCTGAGGGACATCTCCAGCAGTCCTGTTTGCAATCCCAATCCTCCCCAGCACTGTGAGGCTGCCAAACCGTGGGTACTTCATCCAAACCCCAGTCTGGGCTGTCACTGAGGAGCCTGTGGCCAGCCCCTTCTCCATGTTCACCCCCACAATGGGGTGAGGAGTGTCCAGCACCACCCAGCAGAGCCTGATCCCTACGAGGTGATTTGGATGCCAGGGGTGATGTCCCCACAGCCCCACAGTCAGAGGAAAAGGCCGTGTCAGGGCGCAGCCCCACAGTCAGAGGACAAGGCCGTGATGTCCCTGGCCCAGGCCGTGTCAGGGTGCAGCCCCGCAGCCTTTAGCCAGAGCCCAGCAGCCCGCGGTGCCGCAGGCCTCGGCTCGCTCGGAGCCGAGGAGGCGCTGAGGGCCAGCCCAGCGCTGCTGTCAGCCCGGCTGCTGTGCCAGGCAGGGACGGCCGCGCCGCCCGGGGCAGGGTTCGCGCTGCTCGCCTCGGCCTGCCCCGCTCCCCACACGGGGCCGGGCCGCGCCCGCTCCGCACGGACAGATCCGAGCTGACAGCCGCGTCTTCCCCGCTCCCGTTTGTTTCTATTTTCCATTTTCCGCGTTGCTGCTGGTGAATTTGAGATGCTGCTGTCTCCCTTTTGAATCGCAGGCCAGGGGACGGCGGAGGGAAGGAATGCACTTTTGGCCTCGCTGCCGTGCAGGGCTGAGAGCACCGGGGCGGAAAAACCATCGGAGCGGGAGCCCGGGGCTGCGGCCCTGTGCAGGAACGGGCTGGGCCATCAGCCTGCCCTTGGGATCCAGTCTGGAGACACAGGACACTGCACACAGCATGGAACTGGGAATGAAAACCTCTGTCCTCCTGGAAAAGAGGGTTCAGCCCTTGGAGGGTCTTGTACAGCTGTGTGTGAACGTGAACAATACTGAGCCCACCCCTCTCGTTTCTGCAGGGGCTGCCAGCACGATGCACTCAGGTTCACTGGAAAGAACTATTCTGGTTCACAGCAGAGCTGTGAGAGCCCCTGCAGCCCAGCCATCCCAAAAGGAGCTCTGGGTTGAGCCACGGGCACTCCTGGGAGGAGTTTCTGAGCATGGAGCATCCCGTGGAGTCTCCTCATATCCATGGCCAAATGCAACGGGGTTCCACAGTTTTCTCCTGTGCCTTTCACTTGCTGGAAAACTCTTACCAGGGTTAAAGGGGAACATATTTTAGGGAGCTCATTACAGGTGAATGGAAGAGCCAGAGGTCTCCCCACCCTGCTGGACCCCTCATGCAGGAGGTCCCTGTGGAAAAAAGGGCTGGGATTTGGGAGCAGCCAGGTGGTGTTACAGAGGTGGCATCACACACTAAAGTGAGGGTAATGGGATCTCATGCTCCAGGGAATAGAGCAGGGAGGGAGGGAGGGAGGGGGCGAGGAAGCCCCCAGCCCGATGGACAGCACTGCACATTTGGCTTGGGGCTCTTGGTGCTGCTCCTTGCTCCAAAGCCTCTGCCAAAGGCAGGACACAGGGCTGGCTGCAGCAATTAGCTCCTCAAATGTCAGCTCCTGTGTTTGTCAGCCTGTGATGGCTGTGCTGCCCTGGGGACCCTCGCCTGTGCCCCCCAGAGCTGTGGCACTGTGCTGTCCCCACTGGCTGGCAGAGCCACTGTGAGTGCCGCTGCTGGCACTGGGGGGACACCCACAGAGCCAGGGCAGTGCAGGCCCCACCGGTGCTGCTGGGGTGGTTTGGTACCCAGGACCCCCCTTCTGCACCCCTGGGAGTGAAGCCCACCCAGTGTGGGGTCCCACACTGTTCAGATGTCCCTGATGTCCTGAGAGTGTTTACACAGAGTTCAGCACAATCTCAGCTTTGCCCAGACGTGCAGCCCCACTCCTCACCTTCTTCCTGACAGCCAGGGGCTGTTCTGTGGCCAGGATAACCAGGAGCTTCTGCAGGGCACCCCCCTCGATGGCTTCAATCTGCACTTTGGGGTTGCTGCAGGGATGAAAGCAAAAGGCAGATCACCAACAGAGTGGGGCAAAGCAAGCTGGGAGACACCCTGATCTGGCTTGTGCCAGTACTGGGGTGGCAGCAGGACCAGGACAGTCACTGTCCCCTGTGCTGGCACTGCTGGGGCACCTCAGGGCTGTGTCCTGTTCTGGGCCCTCATGGCCAGAGAGCCCTGCAGGGGCTGGAGCGTGTCCAGGGCAGGGAACGGAGCTGGGCAGGGGCTGGAGCCCCAGGAGAGGCTGAGGGAGCTGGGCAGGGGCTCAGCCTGGAGCAAAGGAGGCTCAGGGGGCCCTTGTGNGGCTGAGGGAGCTGGGCAGGGGCTCAGCCTGGAGCAAAGGAGGCTCAGGGGGCCCTTGTGGCTCTGCACAGCTCCTGCCAGGAGGGGACAGCCGGGGGGTCGGGCTGTGCTCCAGGGAACAGGGACAGGAGCAGAGGGAACGGCCTCAGGCTGGGCCAGGGCAGGCTCAGGGTGGGACGAATTTCTTCCTGGAAGGAGTGCTCAGGCCTTGGTAGGCCTGCCTGGCGAGGTTTGGAGTCCCCATCCTCAGAGAAGTCCAAGGAAGGGCTGGAGGTGGCACTGAGTGCTCTGGGCTGGGGACAAGGAGGGGATCAGGCACGGTTTGGCTCAATGCTCTGAGAGGGATTTTCTGACTTCAGTGGTTCTATTTAATTATATTCCCACCTCACAGTGGGCATGAACAAGGGTCAATCCAGCCTGATCCCAAAACAAAATCCCCCAGTTCCCACCAACGCGGGCTCATGGTTATGGAGAAGGTACAAATTGTGCAGCCACCTCAAAGACACCTGAAATGAAGGCAGCAGGGGTGGGGAGGGCACACTGGGTCACCTGGGCCTTCCCACCATACCCCCCATCCCACCTGGCTTCCCCTGGCAAGGAGCCCTCCCCTGTGGCTCCCTGGTTCCATGAATCCTCTCACTCCACATGACATCCACTCCTGAAGAGCTCCTGAAGAGCCTTTGTATTCCAGTTCCTGCTTCCCCCTCTCCTCGCTTGCTGCCAGCGTGCTGATCACCCACACACCTCTCACAGCAAGAGCTCCTCTCCAAGGACTACTGTGGATAAATCCACCCTCCTGCCTGCCAGGACAGGCTGAAACCTCAGGTCAGGATGTCAGCAGCTGCCCAGGGGCAGACAGACACACAGACACACAGACAGACCATTCCTCCCATCCATGCTGACACATTGCAAGCTCACTTCTAACGCATCCTGGGAGGTGGTGGAGCCATCTGACACTGCAGGCTCCCTCCTTGGCAGGGCTTTCACAGCCAGGGCACAGTGTGCCAGCTGTCTGACCCCTGATCCCAGAGCTCTCCCACTCCAGGGGCAGCTCCACTCTCCAGCCTTTGCTGGCTCTGCAGCAGCAATTGCACCGTGCCAGACAGAGGTCATGGCCCTGCTACAGCACCCGCTGCTCCCAGGGAGCTGCTGCAGCAGCCACAGCACAGCCCCTCCAGGAAATAAAACACAGAGGCAGGCAGGGTCATAAAGAAACAAAACCAGAGACAAATGGAGCTGAGCAAGGAGCAGCTTGGAGTTAAAACCATTGCTCAGAGCAAATCTGGTGTGGGACTCCCCAGCTGGCACTACCAGGCTCACCTCAGGGCAGGAAAAGGGCATTTGTTGAAAGCCACCGTGGATTTCTCCTTCCTCACCCGCTTGCTGCAGCAGACATCCAGGCACAGCCATGGCACAGGCACCCTGCCAAGGTGGGGGCATCTGTGCCCTGCCCAGACAGGGCAGGAGGGAGAAAGAACAAACCCAGGAGCTCCAGGATCCTCCTGCTAATGAGATTTTCGCAGCACAATTCTCAGACCCCCATGTACCAGCCCTGCAGCATCCCTGGAAGCAAACCAGCTTCTGCAGTGCCTGGGTCAGGTGGGACCTGGCACATCCACCATGAGGAGCCCATCCCCAAGCTCCCCATGCCAGGAGGTGCAGAAGCAGGATGCCATTTTCCACCCCAATATGTTGAGCAATGATCCATTGATGGCATCTCTGAATGGGCTGGGGACTGATTTAGGGAGTCAGCAGAGGCAAACAGCACAAGCCCTAAAACTTCACCTGTCCCCAGGCCACTCCTGGGTCCAAGGCCCAGCTCACAACTGGGGCTCTCATTCATCTCCAGCCAAACCTGCAGCACAGCCATGGCCCCAACAGCATGTGGTCCAAAAACTTCATCCCATTTCATGTGCAAGTCCCTCTGGGCAATGGAGACTAGAGCAAGTGCAGAAGCAGCTTGCAGGAAGGCACTTTGCTGAGTAGAAGTGCACTGAAAGGACAATCCCCTGGGCTGGAGACCTCCTGGTGCCATTCAAGGAGAACGGCACATTTGGGATATCCAAGCTCTTTTGTCACATCTCTCTAAAATAAATAATGAAAACTCTTACAGCAGGAGACACAACTGAGAAATTGGTATGCCTTTAATACTTGGCTGGTCACCTGGAGGATTTGATCTAATTAAAATCTCTGAACCATGGAGCTTTTGCCAAGGAGCAGCTCGGGAGGTGAGGGAGCCTTCCTGGCTGATGGGTGTGCCGCTCTCTTCTCAATGCTCCTGTTGCTCTGTCACTGCTATCAATGGCCCTGGCTTCAAGCTAACAAAAAAGCTTGTTTGAAGGTTTGGAAAACTCAGCAGAGATCTGTACAAATTACACTGTCAAGCCCAGGGAAAAGCAGCCTGAACAAAATAAACACAATGAGACAGACTGTGGAGCGCTCGCATGGGAAATTCAGCCGTGCTAATCTGTTAATGGAGACAGGATGGTGGCATCTGCAACAAAATTCACTGAAATGGGAGTCTGAGGCTGGGACAGGGCTGGGCCAGCCTATGGTGACATGCCATAATGGTGCAGTGATGGCACAGGTTTGGGTGTGCTGCACTGGTGAGATGAACCAGCCCCCATGCCGGGGGAGGAACAGCCACAGGCTGCAGGCACTCAACACCAGCCCCATGCAGCTTCCCAGAAGAGATCCCTGTGTGCTGAACAGCCCCAGCGTGCCCTGGGGGGCCCAGCCTGGCTGTGGGGTCACAGCACATCCCCTCTAGACGTGGCCCTTGCTGCACATCTGAGCTCCTTGTGCCTCCCAGCCATGCTGCCTACATTCTGTGCATTTTCACTGGCAGCTCCTGGCATGGAAGCAGTTTCCACTTTGCAGACGAAGGGAAGGGGTTTTTCACGACTACTCTCTGCTAAGAGACACCCTTGTTCCACTCCTCCTAGGACGACCCCAAGTGCACAAATTTAGGAGAGACTTCACAAAGTTTTTGCAGACTGCACATGCGGGTGTGGGAAGACTGAAAAGCAGCAACACAGCCCTGAGGCGACAGCAGCTCTGGAGTTAGGTGGGAACTTACAATAAGGCAGCAAAATTAGATTTAAATTAAAAAAAAAAAAAAAGGAAGCAAGCCAAGTGGTGCAGAGGGACCTGGAGACTTGGAGGCACAGAGCAGGGCAGGCAGGCAAATGCCCTCATCTCTACTGCTCTGACAAGGACACACACAGAATATTTATTTCATGGCCTGCTGGTTGCAGAAACTGCATGAGACCTTGGGAAAGAATGGGTGACCTCCTCTCCTGGGCATCCTGCTGAAACCAGGTGTGGAAGGGAGTGGGATGGAGGGGCTGCCCCTGCCTGGGGGGGCATCTCCCCAGGCACAGGGGGCCGAGGCTGCAGAGCTGAGCTCTGATGAAAGCCCCGGTGCTGGTGCAAAGGCATGATAATCACCGGGCTAGACGGGGCTTAATGGGTCTCTTCTCTGCTCAGAACCAGCCTCTGCGGTGCCACCTGGGAAATCAAAGCCAGGGATCAAAGTCTGTAAGTCTGTGAAACAGCCTAAAAAATTTAGTGTAGTCTATTTAGCTTGTGCTGTAACCTGAGGATCAGAAACAGGCAGCAAGGCAGCATTGCTTACCTTGCCCTCCCCCTCTTTCCCTTCCCTTCCCTTCCCTTCCCTTCCCTTCCCTTCCCTGGTTTTCAGTCCAAAATCTGTTAATGGAGAAAACAAGAGTGAACCAACAGGGCTGAAATGTGCCTTGTGTGGCTCCTGGGGCTCTCAAACCCTCACACCTGGGTCACACTTTGACAGGCAATAGAAAAGGTCATTTCCGTGAGCCCTGGAAACAAAGCAACACAACCAGGGTCACACTTGAAAAGGCCAATGACTTCTTCATCCTTCTCAGTGTTTGGAGGGTTTCTGACAGCTCTTGTAAGCACAGTCATGTTAAAATTATTTGACAAATAATAGATAGAGAGATAAAACAGGTCATTACAGTGTCAGTAATTCCAGCCCGAACTAGAGCTGTAAATCTGAGACTGAACAAGGGCAGAAAAGAGAGGCAGGGTGATCAGCAGCTCGTTAATACTTGCATGACTGGATTTCAGATTGCAGGTTTAAGAATAAAAAAACTAAAAGCATTCAAACAGTTCAAGTGAGAAGCGACACATAAGGAGAACACAGCTTCCTTCTGCATTCCAAGCTCTGGCTATGAACTATTCCTGTGGGAAATGGCCATGGAGCAGCTGCAGTGAGCCAGATGGCTCTGATTCCATGACTTCCCAGGTATCCACATCTCCTTCCAAACTTCCTAGCTTCTTTCCTAAGAGAAGAATAACTGGGACAACTCCATATCAACAGCCCTGCAGCCTCCTCACCCTTCAAAATGACCCCCTGGCTCTGCCAGGAAATGACACTTAAGCCCAGGGTGGGTGAATCCCTTCCAGAACACACATTTAACTGAGGCTTTCCAAAGTCCCAAGCTGTGGAAAAGGACATTTGCATGCACAATATGAGATATAGGATAATAATAAAATAACTCCAATGTCACCAAGGCTGCCTGTGAATATTGGAGGGAGAAGGAGGAGGAATGAGACACAGTCACCCCCAAAGCCTCCCCCAAGGGCCACATGCAGCAGAACTGGCCTAAAAATCCTCTTCTCCAAGCACCAGCTCAGACCTGAGTTT